CAGTGCTGAAGATCGAACCCAGGGGCTCACACATGCCAGGCAAGTGCTCTACCACTGAGCCACAGCTCCAACCACCTGTTTGTCTTTCTTTGAGTGGAAAAACCAACTAGCCAGCCAGCCAACCAACCCACAAACCAACCAATCAATCAAAAGAATAATTGGTCAAATAGGTTTGGAAAATACCACATACAGAGCCTATACCCAAAGTCATAATGTGTCATATCAAAGCATCTTTAATCTTCAAATATTTCATAAACTTATTTGATTATAAATCTTTACTTTTGCCCAGAACATCTATCCAGGAATAGTTTAGAACAATATTTGGTACATATTAGATGCTCAGTAAATACTTGTTTTTAAACAAAATTGAATGAGGGCTATGGTTGTGGCCCAGTGGTAGAGTGCTTGCCTCACACATGTGAGGCATTGTGTTTGAGCCTCAGTGCACCATATAAAAATAAATAAAATAAAGGTATTGTCCATCTACAACTAAAAAAATATTTTTTTAAATTGAGTGAATACAAAATAAATCTTTATGAAATTTTCAGTACACTCTGTATTATTATGACACATGTTCTGCATATCTGCAAGTGACACAAGCAAAATGGAGCAACTGATTGGATGGGTATCCCTTCTTTCTCTCTGTGAACCATTCCAGATATATTAATTTCCATACTTTGTATGACTTTAAAAATTCTTATTTGAGTACTGAGCTTATATCCTCATTTGCACAACTACCTTTTGTATTAGAAAAGAAACAAGTAGCGGTTTATGGTGAAGACAATATGAGCCTGACTCTTGCTTTCTTATCATACATGTAGAACAAATGATTCGGCAAGTGCTTTTCTTATCTTTTGTTCTTAGTTTGTACTTGATTGTGTTTGATTGTACAAGCATGAGGTTCTTCTGCAAAGCTTTTTTAAAAAAACTTGATAGCATAAAGAGTTTTTTAAGCTCATAGTTCTACAGATTCAAGGTTATGCTTTGGCTCTGGATGGGGATCTTATGATTGTTTCTATCACAACAGGAGCGTGGCTGTGGAAGGAAGAGATGGTATTGCTAAACAGGAAGCCAGAGCTTCAGGAGTCCCATAAGGATTACCTTAACCCCTTCAGTGGGAAGCTTCCCCAGTGACCTAAGGAGCTCCCTCTAGGTCCCACCTCTTATTCAGCAGAGCTCTTAAATGATGATCTGCTCCACTAAAGTGTTTTAATTAAAGGGTATTTATAAGATTATTTATTGAGTTACACCTTTTTTTTTTTTGCCTTCCCAACCAGCAGTATTTCATCTTAGCAAAATAAGGAGAACACACACGTTTTTTTTTTTTTTTGTAATGGAACTTTCAACATGGGGTAGCTTGACAAACTTCTTATGAAACGTGCATCTGGTCAGCAAGGAACATGCTGTAATGTGGTTTGATCCAGCTTTGGTGATCTAGGCCTTTTATTTCTCATGCTCTGGAGTAAAAGAGTTTAAAGGGTCAGCAAGAGAAACGTTATAAATCATATTTGTTCTCAGTTTTGCATTTCAGGAGGAAATCGCATGGAAATGCTAGAGGGCCAGATACAAAGCAGGGTAGAATTCAGTGTCACAACTTTCTCAGAATCCAGTACTCGTTACTTCTCTTTATTTTCAGCAACACTGTCACCTCTGTGACTGCTCAGCGATGACCCCATATCTCCTGTGTTATTTTCTCTCTGTTCAGTGTTTTCAACCCAGAACCTGATCATTTCTTTTTTTTTAAAGAGAGAGAATTTTTAAAAATATTTATTTATTTTTTTTAGTTTTCGGTGGACACAGTATCTTTATTTTTATGTGGTGCTGAGGATTGAACCCAGCGCCCTGTGCATGCCAGGTGAGTGTGCTACCTCTTGAGCCACATCCCCAGCCCCCTGATCATTTCTTAAAGTATTTATCTCTTTACACACATATTTTAGTTGTTGATGGACTTTATTTTTATTAATTAATTAATTTCTTTAAATTTTTTTGTAATTGTAGATGGACAGAATTCCTTTATTTTATTTGTTTATTTTTATGTGGTACTGAGGATCCAACCCAATGCTTTGCACATGCTAGGCAAGCTTCTGCCACTGAGCTACAACACTAGTCCTATTAATTTATTTTATTTTATTTTTTATAATATTTATTTTTTTAGTTTTAGGTGGACACAATATGTTTTTAAATTTTTTTTAAAGAGAGAGAGAGAGAATTTTAATATTTATTTTTTAGTTTTCAGCGGACACGACATGTTTGTTTGTATGTATGTGGTGCTGAGGATCAAACCCGGGCCACATGCATGCCAGGTGAGCGCGTTACCGCTTGAGCCATATCCCCAGCCCATGGACACAATATCTTTATTTTATTTTTATGTGGTGTTGAGGATCAAACCCAGCACCTCGCACATGTCAGGCAAGCGCGCTACTGCTTGAGCCACATCTCCAGCCCTAATTTATTTTTTATGTGGTGCTGAGAATAGAACCCAGTGCCTCACACATGCTAGGTAAATGCTCTACCACGGAGCTACAACCCCAGCCCAGTAACATCTCTTTTAATCATGATTTCATCTTTTTTCATTAGTATGGAAATGTGTTATTTATATATTTTTGAAACCAGCAGCGTTCAATCACTCAGCCACATCCCCAGCCCTTTTTAAAAATATTTTATTTAGATACAGGGTCTCCTGAGTTGCCTAGGGCCTCTCTAAATTGCTGAGGCTGTCTTTGAACTTGCAATCCTCCTGCTTCAGCCTCATGAGCTGATGGGATTACAGATATGTGCCACTGTGCCTGACTAGAAATGTTATTTTGTTGGCACAATTCTGGGAGATATTTTAGATATAGAAAACACCATTATGTTTTTATATATCTGTGGATTTCACATGTTGGATCTCATAGAATGGGTATAATAAGGGAGTGGCGGGGAGTGGCTTACTTAAGATTATAGAGCAACAAAATTGCTGAGCTAACACAAGGTCCTGGTCTTCCTACTCCTAGCCCATAGCCTTTTATTTTATGCCCTGAGGCCTCTCTTATTGCATGAATGTCTGAATTGTAGAGTAAATAGATATAGTTTCTATAGTTATGCAAGAGTCTAATGATATGGGAGGACTTGACTTGCACATATTAGTACTTCCATATCTGTCATCTGACATAAAATTCATATATTACTTTTTATTTTTGGTACTGGGGATTGAATCTAGGGTCATGTTAACACTGAGCTATATCCCCTAGTTGTTGTGTTTTTGTTTTTGTTTTTCCGAGGCAGGGCCTGTCTTAGTTGCTGAGGCTGGTCTTGATCTTGTGATACTCCTGCCCCACCCTCCCAAGCTGCTGGAATTACAGTACATGCTGGAGCACCTGGCATCAATTGCTCTTTATAGGTATTTCTACTGATAAATCAGGGGAGAAATTTGGATCTCTTATTATATAGGCAAATTTTTATGTCAAATTATCTTTCATTTAAACCTTAGACTGTTGTCAGTTTTATAGGCTTATGAGGACAGGGAGAATTCGAGCCCTTTTTCCACTATTCTTCCTCCATGTCTCCATGCCTAAAAATATCAATATGTGACACATATTTGTGGCTGCTAGAAACATTCTTTTACCTTAGGAAACATGCAACATTGATAGAATAATTGCATATGTCAGTGTGTATGCTTTGGCTTAGGACATGACAAGAATCTAATATTACAAGACATTTTTAAGAATGGATTGTATGTTCTGACCAATTGCAGGTTTGTAATGGCTTGTAGCTTCTTGTCAATTAATTAATTTATGTTTCAAAAGGGGTGAGGTGGTCATTCTGTAACAGAGACCCTATTCTACTGTCTCATGTGTCATCAAGAATCTGTTTATTTAATTCCCTTGGGAAGGATTGACCTTGATAAACCACATCCAAATGGTATGATTTGAGGAACACTACAAGGGTAGTGTGTCATCAGTCTCACACCATCAAAGTCTAGGACTTTGAAGACACTTTTTATCAGAGAGCAGGTAAAAAAATATGGCTTCAGTAAGAGACATGGAACTGCAGTCACTAAACTCAGCAATCCAAAATAGCCTGGTTCGATGACCTGTTTTCTTTTAAAATGTTATCCTTATTCATGGACCAGAAGCAGATAATGGACTTTGATTTTTGGCTCCTGTAGAGTTTTGTAGATTTGAACATTACAAGTTAGCACTTAAGATCTGGGACAACTAAAATATATTGAATAATGCACAGGCATGGTTTCATTTATAATGATAAAAAATGAGTTAACCTGCTATTGTATATCAAACACCTACTCTTATGCCTGATATTTCACATTTCCTTGGCAGAGTACCTTGTGAGGTAGTGTAATTATTCCTGATTTATAGATGAGGAAATTGAGACTTAGAGGGGGCTTTAACTTGCCTAGGGTTATATAGCTAGTAAATGCAACAAGCTGGATTTGAATCCAGGCCTTTGTGACTCAGAAGACCACAAGGTAAATTGCCTCATTGCACTCTCTGAAACACCTTCCTGACTTATAAGATGCATGGAAATATCTACATCAGGGTTATTTTGAGGATCCTAAAGGTGCTTTGTTGTTAATAATAAAGCTTTGTGGAATGAAAGGCACTATCAGAAGAAGACAATGTGCTACAATATCTCAATGTGACTATCCATCCTTGAAATAATTCCGGATGTCCTGGAGTTTGCATCTTTGCCCTTGGCTTTCTGGTGAGTGAGAGCAGTTTATGTCCCGGACGTAGATTGAGAAGTAGGTCGCGCGTCCTACGTGCCTGGTGATATTTTTAAGAGCATAATTTCCGTGCCTTATAGCTGAGAGGAGGAAAGAGAAGATTAGCAGTGTGTCTGTGGATGGAGATCTGCTGGAGCTCCAGGGTTGTTTTGGCCACATTGAGAAATCATGTATATGTTTTCAGCTGTATTTTAGCATGGATGTTATTTCCTCTTATTTCTTATTTGTTATAGAAACAGAGCTGCTCCTCCGTGTAAAGGACATCAGTCATTTCTTAATGCAAGACATCGCCTTCCTGTCTGGTAAGCAAACTTTCTCATGTATTTAATGTAGACAAATGTATGAAATGATCAGCAGAGTTAGTTTGGCACTTATAATTCTCTCTCTCTCTCTCTCTCTCTCTCTCTGTCTCTGTATGTTTGAAAAGCATTATTTTAACATATATGAATATATTGTACACCAGTTGCTAACCAAATGGACATTTAGAGACTAATCAGAGGTTTTAAAGACGTTTAAATGTATGATTAGAACCAACCTTAACTACTCTTATACTTTTGGTTTTCAGACAAGGCTTCAGACATCCATGACGGGGAATATATCTTGTAGGTAGGCACAGGGTGAGTGAGAGAGTGGCGGCTGAGGTAGCTTCTTTGAGGTTTTTCTCTTTCACTGTTGCTCCTATTACTCAAAGATTTATTGCATATGTCGACAGGTGATCCTAATTAAGCAGCAAGCATTAAGTTTATTTTTAGGCTTCAATTATATATGATGAAATTTACTTTTCTCAAATAGGTATATGCATTTTTCTATAATTTTTAAATATTGCAGTGAAGTACATATAACATAAAATTTGCCATCTTAAACACCCCCACCTTTTTTATACTGGGGATTGAACTCAGGGGCACTTGACCACTGAGCCACATCCCCATCCTTATTTTGTATTTTATTTAGAGACAGGGTCTCACTGAGTTGCTTAAGGTCATGTTAATTTGCTGAGTCTGGCCTCAAACTTGAGATTCTCCTGCCTCAGCTTCCCAAGTCATTGGGATTTCATACGTGTGCTATGATGTCTGGCAGAATTTCTTTCTTTTTTAAGGCTGAATTACATTTCATTGTATATATATACCATACTTTGTTTATTCATTCATATTGATGGATACATGGATTGCTTCTGCCTTCACTATTGTTTCTAATGCTTCTAAGTAGCATTATATATTTTTAGAGATATAATTATGGTAAACCACTCTGCCCGTTTTGCTTCTGGTCATATTCTAGAGAAAATTTTGCTTAAAAATAAGCACATTATTTTTTAGATATTATAGTAATTCGAATGATACCATTATACATTTTATTTATTTATTTAGCTATTAGGGATTGAACCCAGGGGCAGTTTACCTCTGAGGCATATCCCCTGCACTTTTTAATTTTTATTTTGAGACAGAGTTGTGCTAAGTTGCTGAGGCTAATCTTGAATTTGTGGAGGCTAGTCTTGAACTTGCAATCTTCCTGCCTCAGCCTCCCTCCCAAGTCACTGGGATTATAGGTGCGTACCACCATGCCTGGCCTACATTTTATTTATTATATTAAACAGATAAAGAAAAAGTTACCAGAATATGCATTGCTTTTATGAAAATGGTATTTTCTAGGTATTGATAGTACAAGAAGCTATCTTATTTATTTCTCCTACATGCTCATTTTAATAAATAAGCATTTACTTTGTAGGTAATACTAATCGGACACTTTAGTCTGGCTTCTGCTTTTTGATGATCATAATTAATTGTAATTGTGAATTTGGGGTGATTTATTTAATGTGGTTTTATATTTTATTTTACAAAGTATATAACAGCACTTCCTTATCTGTGATTTTACTTTTTGTAGTTTCAGTTACCTGTGATCAACTATGGTCTAAAAATATTAAATGAAAAATTCTAGAAATAAGCAATTCCTAAGTTTTAAATGGTACACCATTCTGAAATCTCATACTGTCCCACTCTGTAACACCTGGGATGTGAATCATCCTTTTGTCTAGTATCTCCACGCTGTGTAACTAGCTTGTTAGTCAATTAGTAACCATGTTTGTAGGCAGATCAGCTGTCATGGTTTTACAGGGCTTATGTTAAGTAACCCTTATTTTTCTTAAGAATAGTCCCAAAGCACAAGAATACTGATACTAGGGCTGGGATGTAGTTTAGTGATAGAGTGCTTGCTTGGCATGTAGAGGCCTTTGGTTCCATACCCAGCACTGCAAACCCCCGCCAAAACAAAAAATAATAATGATGCTAAAGGTGATACCAGGGCATAAAACATGGAAGGACAGATTAATTTGGGGACTATGAACAACCCTGCAGGGCATATAGGAAAAAAACATTTTTAGTAGGATTGGTACTCCCTGTGGTTTTAGACCCCCAGGGTCTTAGAATGCATTCCCCATGGATAAAGGGGGATTACTGTTCTGTCTTAGTAAATTTAGTGGTATGTTAGGTTTACTTTTAAGATTTAGAGATTTTACTTAAGATTATCAGTGTTTTCCAGTCTGGAGTTGTAACTCAGTGGTAGAATATTCAGCTAGCATGTGAGGCCTTGGGTTTGACCCCCAGCACTGCAAGAAATAAACAAAAGTTTATCAGTGATTTTTTTTTTTTTTTGAGCTGGGGATGGAACCCAGAGCCTCATGAATGCTAGCCAAGTGCTCTGTCACAGAGCTACAACTGCCTGCCCCTCAGTATTTTCTAAAGGTTTCTGAATTACAATCTTCCTCAGGGTTTGCTGCTCCCTACCCTTTTCCACACTTTTCATTCCTTATCTGCTTTTTTTTTTTTTTAAATTGTAGTTGTAGATGGACAGAATGCCTTTTTTTTCTTTATATGTGGTGCTGAGGATCGAACCCAGTGCCTCTTGCATGCTAGGCAAGCGCGTTACCCAGGCCCCAGCCCCCTTATCTGCTTTTTGTATTTATTTTAAAAATGTTTATGGTTTCTTTTGAGGAATATGTTCCCAGAGAGAAAAATAATTAAAACTTCCCAATTAGAGTATAACTATCTTTTGTTCTTTTCTCACAAATTTACTATCTAGTACAGTACTGTTAGGTGCTGAGTGGTATATAGATTAATCAGTGATATTTTACCCCTATAGGAGCCAAATATCCTTTCCTTTGATGGGTGTAGTTTGCATTAGTATTAAATTGTTCTGTCCTAAACTAGAGTGCTCGTCAGCTTTCTTAGCAAGTTTATAGTTATATTTTTTACATATAGGATATATATTCAATTATATATTATTTATATACTTTGTTCTATATCATGCCTTACCTATAGAAGCCCTTTGTTTAATGATTTGCTAAACCTTTTGGTTCAGGGTTGTACAGTTTCTCTTTTGAGTTCTTTGAAAACTCTTAGGTGGATTCCATTATTCTTACTGATTATTTCCATTCTGCTCTTTAATTCTAGGATACCATATAGCAAAGATTAATGCTTTTTTGATTTAATAATCTTGATTTGTTCAATTCAAAAGATAATTTGAGAACTATCCCTCAAGTTTCCCTTAGTAAAGATTAAGATAAATAATTAATTTGATTTTTTCCCATGTGCACTAGAGAAAAGTGTGTATCTTGTTTTCATTTGGTGGAGGGTTCCATAGAGTTCATTTAGGTCATGTTGGTTGAGAGTTTGTTCATTTATACAGTATCCTTGCAAATGTTTTGCTACATGTTCTATTAGTTATTGAGAGATGGGTGGTTAACCACTTAGCCATATCCCCAGCTCCACTAACCCCTTCTTTTTTGGTATGGGGATTGAACCCAGGGGCACTTGATCACTGAGCCACATCCCCATCCCTATTTTGTATTTTCTTTAGAGACAGCATCTCACTGAGTTGCTTAAGGCCTCACTAAATTGCAGAGGCTGGCTTTGAACTCATGATCCTCCTGCCTTAGCACTGGGATTATAGGCATGCGCCACTGTGCCCGGCTCCAGCCCTTTTTTCTATTTTTTATTTTGAGACAGGGTCTCACAAAGTTGCTTATGGCCTTGCTAAATTGCTGAGGTTGGCTTTGAACTTGCAATCCTCCTGTTTTAGCCTACCAACCACCTGGGATTATAGGCATGCACCACAGTACTCTGCTGAAATTTCTGACTAAAATTGTAGATTTGTCTATTTCTTCTTGCCGCTTTATCAGTTTTTGCTTCATATATTTTGAAAGCTCTGTTATAAGGTGCATAAGTATTTTGGATTATGTTCCCTTAATGAATTAATCACATTATCATGACCAAATGAACTTCTTATTAGCTAGTAATATTCTTGGCTCTTAAATCTACTTTGTGTAATATTAGATTCTTTTTGACTACTATTAGCCTGGTGCATCTTTTTCTATCCTTTTGCTTTTAGTACATTTGTTCTTTTTTTTTTTAAATAGTTGTTGACAGACCTTTATTTTATTCATTTATTTAAATATGGTGCTGAGACCTGAACCCAGTGCCTCACACTTACCAGGCAAGTGCTCTACCACTGAGCCACAATCACAGCCCCAGTACATTTGTTCTTTTATGTTTAAAGTTTATTTACTGTAGGCAGCATATGGTTGGATCTTTTTAAAATTTTTTTTAGTTGTTAATGGATTTTTACTTTATTTATTTATTTTTATGTGGTGCTGAGGGTTGAACCCAGGGCCTCACACATGCCAGGCAAGTGCTCTACCACTGAGCCACAAACCCAGCCCTAGGTTGGATCATTTTTTATCTAGTTTGATGATCTTTCACTTTTAATTGTAATGTCTAGATCGTTTTCATGTAATGTGATTATTCATATGGGTTTAAATCTACCATATTACTATTTATTTTATATTTCTCCCATTCATCGTTTTTTCCTCCATTTCTTCCTTTTTTTTGGATTGAGTATTTTTATCACTCCATTTTATCTCCTTTGCCATTATCATATTTTATCACACATTGAATTTTTAAAAGTACTTTTACATATTCACTTTGATTCAGCCAATAAGAATCACAGTTGTGTGTATATTTTTTCTATTAGCAAGCTAAATTAAAAGATCACCCTGCAAATTTCTTCCTAAAATAATTGTTCAAATTCCATTTAGCACTTAATTTTTATTGATCACTCATTCTCTGTGTAGGTGTTTACGCCAGCTGCAGTTTGGGACCTTAAACATGTGTAAAAACTCATCTCAGCACTACATGGCATTCATACTCAATGTACTTCATCACCCAGGCTGAATAGGGGGCTACAGGGCTTGGTAGAGGGACATATAGAGATGGCAGTTTACCTCAAAATGAAAGCCCAGTGCCAATCCAGTTATTCTCCACAAGGAATCTCAATGACAGTTATCTCTGCTCCAGGTCCTTATGGAAATGGGCCAAGGGAAGTCTCACCTACAACTCCTGGGACCCGAGCTTCCCCATGGTACCCATCTAGTGGAGGTACAGCTGGAGGAGGTACTACTGCTGCATAGAAATTCTCCTGGTTCACAGTATGGTGGGGGGCCTAAGAGATGGAGCCTGGAGGGGCCGAATCTTAACCCCTTGCCCTGTTTGAACTTTGATTCACCATCCAGGCTATACATTAAATTGTTTTAAATTTTTAGTTGTAGATGTATACAATACCTTTATTTTATTTATTTATTTTTATGTGGTGCTAAGGATCGAACCCAGTGCCTCACACATGCTTGGCAAGTGCTCTACCTCTGAGCCACAACCCCAGCCCTCCATGTTAAATTTTAACAGTGAATTTGTGAGTTTTTTTGTGTTAATAAAATCTCTATACTACTGCTGCTATTATTTATTTTGTTGTTATTTTCATAAATACATTAGACCATCACTTACTTCCTCTAGTTTGTTTCTTCCATCTTTTTATGCTTACCATGATTCTATGAGGTCAATTTTTTTAAGTTCTCCAGTTGCTGTCAATCCCTCATTTGGATTTCAGGCTCTTAACACTGATATAGAAACAGTTATTCCCTAAGCTCCCTTGATTATCCAACTTGGGAGATCAGCTATTTCTTCAACTATATTTATTACACATATTTCATAAAATTTTCTTCTGGCTATATTCATTCTTCTTTCTTTGATTTTTCGTTTAGAAGCCATTCTGCCACTTTTTCAACTTAAAGTATGAGGAGCTTGCTGCCATTTTGGTTTATGTGGATACTAATACCCTTAAAAAATTTTGTTGACCTCAGTCTTCTAAACCCTTCCCTCCTTTATATCTAGAATCCTTTTCCTTGTATTGTTGTCACATAAATTGTTAATTTGGTTGATTTTGTTTTACTATTTTAGGTGGCCGGGGAAAGGACAATGCTTGGATCATTACATTTCCAGAAAACTGTAATTTTAGATGTATACCAGAGGAAGTAATAGCAAAAGTCCTCACTTATCTGACATCTATTGCAAGGTATAGCATTTTATTCTTTTTTTCAATATGTTTTATATCAAGTACCCATTCAAATGTTATACCAGGAAAATGGCTTGTTAATATAGCTATTATTATTATTATTAATAATAATAATAATAATAATAAACAAACTTACCTTCAGAGTAGAAAAGAAATATAACCAAAGAGGAAACTGACAGCTACCTAATTGCTATAAACATTATACTGAGGGTCTATGAAAACAAAATTAGCAGTCTAGAAGTATTTGTTCTCATGAAGATTAAGAATGATAATCTTACATAAAGACTTTAATTTACATTAAGAGTGAGGATAGACCTTCTTCATTTCTTCCAAGGATCACAAGATTGCATCTCAAGTAGACTCAATAGTGGGATTGGGAGATACTAGGAGGAATGAATTGACATTAGAATCATTTGAAATGAGAATGCTTTACAATGAAAAATTGAAAAGTCTCCTTAGAAATTTTTTTAAACGTTGAAGACAGCTTTTTAAAGGAAACATATTCCATTTACTAACCCTGAAGAATAAGAGAGCATAAATCTAGAATGTAACATTTGAAGAGTCTTGTGAGCAAAAATCAAATCCTAGAAGACCAAATTTGTAGTTTAACTGTTGAAGCTTAAAAGTGGTCTTTTTAGGGCAAGTAAATGTTATATAATCCACTGAACTATCTTCTCAAGGAACAAGCTAGAGGTAGCAAAATATATTTAATAGTATTTTTCTGAATGAATGGATCATTGGCTGTTGATGAAAAGTTAAATGTGATTGTGATGAAGAACAGTTATCTTTGGGTTTTCCCACCCCCAAGAAATCCACTTTAGTGACCTATCTTCATTGCACTATTACTTTCCTATTTAAAAGATTGGCATTAGTGTTGAAGAAGAAATTTTAAATCATGAGTATGGGAACATAAATTAAACTGCTTATATAAGCATTTTGTAATAGATTTCAAAATATAAATCTGTTTTTAGTCAAAGATCAAATGTAAATGAAATAATCAGAAATAAAGGTATATAGAGAAAATTTGGGTAATTACTAAGGCAAAGTTATCATTTCCACTTACCTTGCAGGCAAAATGGGTCTGATTCCCGGTTTACCATTATTTTGGATCGAAGATTGGATACATGGTCCTCTCTTAAGATATCTCTCCAAAAAATCTCTGTAAGTACCTTTGTATTCTATAGTAACTTCTTTTTTGGTTTACATTATACTCTCTGTTTTGGGGGTGTACATTGTTTTGATGTTGACAGAAACAATAAGCAGATGAGATAATGAGGAGGAAATGTAGGAAGAAGATTTGTAGAGAAGACAGAGGTAAATAAACAACTCCCCAAATGCAAATCTTAATGGGAAAGGATGAATAGTTGTTTGTTCAAGTTATAAGTGAGCAAAGACACATGGTTCTATATGCCTTTCAGAGCAAGGCAAGTTTTTATGGGAACTTAAAAAAAAAGCTGTGATGTATACTCATTGCATGTAGAAAAGTATAATGAAGAAAGTTTAAAATATAATGAATAAATCTAGCCACCCAGAAATAAGCCCTTTATAACATTTTAGTATGCATCTTTCTAGACTTGGATAAGGTAGGGAGATGAGTCACCTACAAAATAACAAATCTCCCATATTGGAATCTAGTCCCCAGTATTCTAAGACCCAGTAAATGAACAATTTTCCAAAAAGAAACAATATGAGGAATATAATCCTGCCCACAGCCAGGATGATCTTTTACATTATTAGGCTCACTAGGATATAGTGACATTGTGTGACACTTTCCTTTCATATATGAGTAGGGGGAACTCATAGACTCCTCCTGAGCTGACAAGATTGGTACTGTTTTTGGAAGTTTCATGTGGCCCACTTCTATCAGACCAGAGTTGCTGGGAATCAGTTATTACCAGCCATCTGAAATTCTTTAACAGTTTTTGAGTTTCCATTACTTTGTTTATTTTTTATATTATTTCAAAAATTTATTTGTAGTAATTTGTTATACATGACATCAGAATGCATTTCAGTTCATAGTACACAAATGGAGCACAGTTTTTCATTTCTCTGGTTGTACACAAAGTAGACACGAATGGTGTGGCTCTATTTTGTGTACATCCATTACTTTATTTTGCAAAAAAAAGGACACTCAGTAATTTATGATATAGTGGGGAGTTAAATTTATTTTTAGCTGATACATTAAAATATAAAAATTGTCACAGTGTGGTGGTACATTCCTATAATCCCAGCAATGGGGGGGGGCGAGATAAGGACAACTGAGGCAGAAGGATCACAATTTCCAGGCCAGCCTCAGCAACTTAGTGAAGCCTTAAGCAACTTAGCGAGACCCTGTCTCAAAATAAAAAGGGATATAGCTATCTGATGTTGGGTTCAACCTTTCCAAAATATATGTAGCAATGTAATTTTATCATCTATGAGATAATTAAAGGATGTAGCTTAGTGGTAAGGATACCCTTGGGTTAATCACCAGTACTGTAAAAAATTTTACATATTTATAGGGTACCATGTGATGTTTTGATACATACATACATTATATAATGTAAAACTCAGCACTTTGTAATAGATTATCTCTTTAAATGTATATCATTACTTTATGAAAACATCCTTTTTTCTAGCTTTTTGAAATATACATTATCATTATCTATAGTTACCCTACTATGCCTAGAAAACAAGAACTTCTTAGTTCTATCATCTGAAATTCTAATTTTGTCTCCTTGCTGATTTAGGAGGCCACTCCCACTAGAGGAAGTAGATTTAGTTGCAAAGATAAGACCAAAGTATAGGTTGTTGGAGTTCTAAGTGAATACTCCTTTTTGCTATACTATTTTATCAATTACTATAAAAATATATTAGCACTCAAAGCAGAATGTAGTGGCATGGCATGCCCCTATAATCCCAGCCACTTGGGAGGCTGAGACAGGATCTTGCTTGAGCCCAGGATTTCCAGACCAGCTTGGGCAACGTAATGAGACCTAGTCTCAAAGGGAAAATAAAATACTAGCATTTACATGGCAAAATGAGTGAGATCATTATTCTTTCACTATCCAGCATGAATTATTCCTCATCTTGGGCTAATTTGCAAAGTTTTTTTTAAGAGTTGTTTGATCATAAGCAGTGGAGAGAATACCAGCTTCAAATAAATTACTAAAATAAAATAGCAGAACCTTCATGTATATTTTTGCTTTTTCAAAAAGCATTCATACTTATTAAGTAATGTTGATTATCCTTATTTCCTAGCAGGTATTACAGGCAGGTATCACCATAATTATCTCATAGATGATGAAATTACATTGCTACATATATTTTGAAAAGGTTGAACCCAAGGTCAGATAGCTAAGTAACCAAAATAGCTAAAGCAAGAAATGAAATTTCATGAATTTCAGTTGGTTCCCTTTCTACTTGCTGCTTTGTGTCATTTTCCAAATGATATATGGATATACAACAACTAAATGCAGTGGCTTTTTTGCCTTGTAGAAGGTAAATCCGCCCTCCATATATTATTGAGTCCTATCAGTGGGGCTAAATGAAGTAAAAGTAATTTTCCTTGCTGTGGCCTTTTTGGATTTTCTTTGAGCTTGTGGAATAGTCTTTGGTTTATGCCAATAATCAATTCTTTTATACTAAGTATAGCACTTGTTGCAATAAAATATTTTTTTTTTTTTACTGCCTGGTTTTCTTTTTCTTTTGGCCAACACTATACGTAATTTAAAATTTCAATATCTGTTTGGCACATGACATCAGTCTTTTGGTAAAGTTTTACTTATATTAATCAAATAGGTTGGTTGGAACAGATGTATCATTTTGCATAAAAGAAACAGATTACGTGGATTCTATCCATTTGAGGCCAATAGAGGGGTACCACTTGTTCCTAAAGAGTGATATTCTCCTTTTTGTTTTCTTAGGAATGCTCTCTCAGTGGGGAAGGATGAACCATTTTCAGTAAAGAGCTCAGTGCTCAGGGTCCTTTTGTTCTCATAACTGCCAAATTGATGGGGGGGGGGTTAAGGTGGGGTACAGGTGCTTGTGACATGAGCTGACAACATTGGTACTGTTTTTGGAAGTTTCATATGGCCCACTTCTATCAGACCAGAGTTGCTGGGAATCAGTTATTACCAGCCATATGAAATTCTTTAATAGTTTTTGAGTTTCCCTTACTATATTTATTTTTTATATTATTTAAATTTGTTATACATAACATCAGAATGCATTTCAGTTCATAGTACACAAATGGAGCACAATTTTTCATTTCTCTTTTTGTACACAAAGTAGACATGAATGGTGTGGCTATAGGTGTTTTGTATTTTTTCAACCATTTTAAATGTTTCTGATACTTAAGAGCAAATTAATTATATCTCAACTATCAGTAGCTATTGGGCACTATTTGAAATAAAGGTATGTATTGAATATTAGCTCATTTCAAGAATGTAAGTTGACCTTCCTAAAGAATTTTTAGTGGAAGTTACAATTATGTAGGCAGGTGTAACTATGGCATATTACTTTAAGTGTCTGTGAAATAATAATATAATTCAATTTGAAGACCTTAATTTACAGATTCCAAAATAAAAAGTTAAGTTATACTTTATAATTAATGAGAAGAGATTTTTTAAAAATTATTGTTGATTGACATAATAATGTACATTTTAATGGGGGCACAATATGATGTTTTAATTAATATATACATTGTATAATGATCAATTCAGGGTAACTAGCATATCTATCACCTAAAACATTTATGATTTCTTTGTGGTGAGAAAATTAAAAATTCTGTCTTCTAGCTCTTTGGGGGAAAGGTTAATTTGAGTGAGAATCCTATCCATTGTAGAAGTTTACATGTTCTGTTCTTTTTAGATTACTATCAGGGCAGAATTTCACAAACTGTGACCTTTCCCAATACTTAAATCCAGGGTAGAATTTAATAAAAAGTTAAACAATGCAGCTTTGTAATTTAAATCATAGACCAGGATAGGACAAGAGTAAAATCTATCAGTTAATACTACCTTCACAGAGATTCTTAGCATTCCACCTTAAAAATCCAACTGCGTAGAGGGGAGAAAGCCAGTCCCATCAGACTGTTCCTAGGAGGAGAGACTGATTTTTTTTTCTTCCTCCACTCTTAGGACATGCCTGATCTTCTTGAGCAGTCCAGCACAAGCTAATCCACAAGGTTCAATCAGGCTAAGTAATTGGGGGAATGTGTCAACTCTGAATTACAATGAGCAGCAGGGAAGGATCTGTCAGCTGACTAATCAGGGATAGTGGATTTTTTTGCAGCGCTGCCACGGTGGTAATGGAAGCAGCTACGGTAGCTTTGTTTGATAGAGATTTTTGGCTGCCGTTTTTAAATACTACCCCAGAAGCAGCTCATATTTCATCAATGTTGCATTGACAATTGGAAAAGAAGAGTATAATTGTGTCTAGGCGAGATGGCAGAAGCAAATCCCCCGAGAGGCAAGATGAGGTTCAGAAGGAATGCGGTAAGGACTCTGCCTGCAGTCCTGGAAAGCCTATTCCCAAGTTCAAGTGCAGGGATGCTGCAGCATGGTGCTATAGCACAAACTGCTGAGTGGGGCTTTTAAGGACAGATGGAGAGAGAATGATGTCTTGTATTTGCATGGATTGCATTGATGTGATTACTGTGATAGTGGCGTAGGGTAATTTAAGGAAGTGGAGGAGGTAGTATATGATTTCAAAATGTCATCAAGTTTATAAGGGAGCATGTTCGTCATGTTATTTGTTTGAGTGTATTAACAATGTTGATTCATTTGGCAGTATAGCTTTAAATCATGAGTTACAATAATATATAACAAAAGGATTTCTCCTCTCTTTGCCCATGATCAAGTAGAGTATGATATCATGGAGAGGGTTGGAGGTGATTTCATCAGCACTTAAAAAGGCAGACTTCTTGGGTGTTATTGTACAAGTGAAAAAATGTAAAATTCTGTAATTGTTTGAAATCTTTATGTTTTTAGATCTTCTCCAGACTTAAAGTTTAAAGATGCAAAATTCTAGCCTGTTGACAACTTTTTTTCTTTTAAGGAAAAAAAGTGACTCTTTATTCAGGATAAACTAAAATTTGGAAATCTCTCCTCAGATAATTTTTCAAATACTCTTCTACCTAATTTTTTCCTTCATTTATTCATTCATATACTAAATTACCT